GTGCTCTCGGCCTTTCCACTCATCTCGCGTGTGGGCACACTTCAGCCACTTGGGTCCTCGGATCATAGGATTGTCACCTTCGAGATCGAATTTTCGAATTCCTCTGCTTCCACATTACCCTTGCCTGATTTTCTCAGTGTTGACTATTCCTCTCTTGATTCTTACTTCTTTAGTGTAGATTGGCTCTCCTTATTCAATAATTATACCTCATGTTCTGAAGTCTACAAAAGATTTTGCCTAACATATGAAGCCTTTAGCAAATTTGTTCCGATTAGGGTCAAAGTTCCTGGTATTCATAAGATCGACCTGCCACCACACATTCGCCTTAATATCTCAAAAACAACGTCTTTTTGATACTCTGCCCAATCCTTTGAGTTGCCCGTTGTATAAAAAAGTTTGTGCTGATATAGACTATCACATAAAAAAATATTTGCCATATCGTGAACGAATGCTTGCTAGAAGGAAGTCGTCTAAATATCTTTTTTCGTATTTGAAGAATAAAATGAAGCCCTCCCAACATTTCTCTACTTTGACAAATTCTTCTGGTACCTCTTATGTTAGCGATAAAGACAAGGCAGATGCTCTTGGTGCCTATTTTGCCAGCGTTTACTCTCCTGTCGCTATTAATGACAGTGATAGTGATGCTGACAGAATAAGCGCTGATGCAGTGCTGCCTCGCCATTTTTGCAATAATGTTCATTTTCATCCCGCAAATGTCTACCAGTTCCTTATCAAACTAAAACCTTCCATAACTGAAACATTTGATGGCATCCCTCAGATAGTATACCTAAAATGCGCCTCGTCGCTTGCGGCTCCGCTTGCACATATATTCAACATTTCGATGTTGTGAGGGAGGTCCCTGACTTGTGGAAAGAAGCTTTGGTTACAGCAATTCCAAAAACTGACGGAGCATGTCGAATTGATAAGTTCCGTCCAATTAGCTTGCTTCCCACTCCTGTTAAGATCATGGAAAGAATCATACGTGAAAAACTTTTGGAATGGCTAAAGGTTTCGGATTTGATCCCCGATGAACAACATGGCTTTTTGAATGGTGCTTCCACCACAAATCTGGTTGATGGTGTTTTCGAGTGGAGCTTAGCAATCAACGAGGGCAAATCGGTTGACATTGGCCCGTAGTAAAGCTCGATCAGTTGAGGTGAACTCAACTTATCCCATCAGTTCACCTTAGGTGAGGTGAACTGATCACCGTCCACGTTCCCATGCTATAAGATGGTCAAGTCAACTGATAGTTGACCATCTGTCCACCTGCCGCAGTCAACTCTTCCACATCAGTTCACGTTCAAGTCACCTCAATGTGAACGGATGTTAGAGTGATCCAAATAGTGTGTAGAAGAGGAGACGCAGACAAGAGGTGACTGCATCTAACATAAGTTGCTCCCGAGTAACTTACGATACACACAACTTTGCCAAAAAATGCAGAAAAAATCGGCGCAAAACTGCACAATACCGGCGCCCGAAAAGGGAAGGATCGATGAACAGCTGATTTTGGCGACAAAAGCAAGGATAAAAGTTTTCTTCTTTTTTTTGCAGAGCAATCTTAGTTTCTTGTAAAAACTACTTTAGAAGAGAATCTACTTATTTATTACGTTTTATTTATGTTCCAAAAATTTCAGTTTTTCATGAATTCTCCGTCAAAATATGTCAGTTTTGTTTTATTTGTCCATTTGCTAAGTGATATCCTTGTTAGCGGTCATCATCGATTTTTTTCGACAGTGGCCGCTATCAAAGATTGTCCGGCGATGTAGCAAAAGTTGTGGCGCTAGCCGGTGTCGAACCACGACCGCGCGCGTGTGATTCCAATCGCTTATCCGTTTGACCAGACCAGCTCAAGTGGTTGGTTTTTTTGAGAACACATGTGGTTATCATGTCTAGGAAGCGATCCACATCCAAATCAATAGCTCACTGGATGCTGGACTGAAGCGCGATGATCTCAACTCCGGTCCGCGTCGAGAGAGATGCCCGGATGGAGGGTTTACTACGGGCCATTGTTTATGTTGATCTCTCGAAAGCGTTTGATAAGGTCTGTCATGCTAAATTACTAACTAAAATGAACAAATTAGGGATTAAAGGAAATCTTCTTTCGTGGTTGACTTCTTATCTGCATGATCGGTATATGACTGTGAGAGTTGGTCATCGTTACTCCAAAAAGTACTTCTGCACTAGTGGTGTTCCACAGGGTGGTGTCTTAGCCCCCTTGCTTTTCCTGATTTACACCCTTGACCTACCTTCTACTTTGAAGACTTCCGCTAGCGTACACATCCGGATGTATGCTGATGACATAAAGATCTTTGCAGTCTATGATCCGGAAGTAGCTCCAGAGATTCAAATGGACTTGCAAAGGTCTCTTGATAATTTGACCAATTGGTGTGAGGTCTGGGAATTAGCGTTAAATTTTGACAAATGCTCAGTGCTTCATCTTGGAGGTGGAATACTACCTCGTATCACATCAAAGGCTCTATATTGAAGAGTTGTGATACTGTTAGAGATTTGGGTGTCGTGATTGATACAAATCTTAACTTCACTGAGCATATCAATACGTTAGTCAAAAAAGCTTATTCTTCATTCTTTCTGCTTGTATTCTGTTTTCAAGTTCTGAGAAGAGAGAACAAGCTAAAAGCCAGTAAATACTGGATTTTTGTTCCTACAAGCGAAAGGTCAGGGTCTTTTAACTTGCAATATCCAAGAATCCGGCGCAAGAGATACTAGCTGATATTCAACAACGTGTTCTACAGGTCGGCTAGGTGGCTTTCGCACCTCCCGGTTGAGACCACTAGTGCAGAGAGTAGTCATATTTTCAGGAGTAGACTGAGAAGGCTTGACTTGTCAGGTATCGCTAACACTGATTAGTGTTGCATGACAGGGCGGGCCTTTTGCATTAGACCTTTTGGGCTTCCATTGGGTGCTTTGGACGTGCTATGATGGCGGATGGAATCGCTTTGGGCTTTGTTTTCTATCACCTTTCTTCTCCATTTTACCTCTAAAACCTGTCTTTTCAGGTGCTCGGTGATCTTGCATTGACTTGCGGGTTCAGTTGTGGCTGTAAATTATTTCTTTGACGCCTCTCGTGTATCTCCTCACGTTGCGTCAAACTTTTATTTTTGGTGTACTCGTTTTGTTCTAGTTACTAACACAGTTTCATCAGCATCTCAGTCCGAGTCTTTTTCGTTCAGCTATCTAGTAGTCAATCGTACAGCTTGCTATTTCAACAAATGGATTCAATGAGAATCGTTTTACCTTTGGGGTCATTGGGCCTCCCCAGCATTCCGGCTAGGTTGGGTTATGGTTATTGTACCTGAGCCAGTAGACCTGCCTTATAAGCCGCCGGATTGCTTTTAAGAGTAACTAAAGATCGTTCCGCTGGCAACGAGGGGGCATGCGTCCCATCTCCATGGATTCAAAGTTTTGGAGTTATAAATCTCATGTCTACATCTGCATACTTATCTATTAGCCTACCAACATATTCAGTGCAAGCTGTTTTATCTTCTCACATTAGTCTGATTAGGATCAGACTCGGACTGACATGATGATGTCTGCATTTGTTTACATGTCTTGTTCGTTTCCGCTGTATTACTAACTTCGTGATGTGTCTTTTTTTATGGAACGCCTTGAGCGTACAAATAAAATGAAATGAAATAAAATAGCTGTTGCTAGTCCTATCTTGGGAAACATGTGAAAAGACTGCTACAGTCTGCTCCAATCGGGATCAGGCCGAAGCGTCGGCGTAAATTTGCGCGCTCGCAGCGCTAGCGGGCGGCGCTGCATATGCGCGCTGTCGGAGAGAGCCAAAGGATTGAAGAGAGAGCAGAGAAGCAGACAGTGGGCGTGGCCACAAAACCCGCCATCCAATTTTGGCCTGATTAGGATTGGGGCAGAGATCGTTAATTAGCTAGTATTTAATCCTCAAAATCCTTGTTAACTTGTACGTGCCACGTCATTGTTAAGTGGTCTACTGATAAGCTTGGATACGTTAACCTGTATGATCAAGTTCAAGCTAAGCGGGAATCTACTGATCAGTATTGGTATTAACTTGTGCTTACTTGTCTGGCCGATCTCCTTAGTGAGGTACCATTTCAGCTCTAAATGTTTATCATAATCACAACAACAAACAAAAACAATAAAATAAACATCTCATCAATCAATTAACATGATTAATATACTTTGATTGCATGGCGGCCGCCTTTGGTGGCCCTCATGCAATCAAAGTATAGTAATCACTCATGTCTCGACATGGTCTTTTCCACAGAATTATAGAACGCAAAATAAACCAGGGCTACCGTACTCCGGAAATTAGGCGTAAAAGAAATTCAAGGTCTGTAGCTGCACCATAATTCAAATTTGACTTCATTTGACGCCTAATTTCCGGCGTCGGGGGCCCGGTGTTATGTTCAGCCTTCAGATAGACGGTGGTTCAACGCCATTCAAGGATGGAACTTTTGCTACTCTCCATGTTCTCATCTATTTTGTACTGTCACCCATTGTTCTTTGCTTTCCTTCTCCTATCCGAGCAGGTATTAAAGTACATTCGATATTCGTAGGTTTCCCATTGCTTCCCCTCATCATAGACAACTATAATCTATAAATACACACCTGTCTTTCATATCCTGTAGAAAAAGAAATAAACTACTGCCTACTTTGAGGTTGACAAGTATTCCTACAAATTGGATCCCTGCCTCTGCTGCTCTTTGGAGTTTGTTTTACCCATTGCTATGAATAAACACTAGGTTGTTTGTTGCAGGTTCATATGGTCTCCACTGATGCCTTAGTAAAATTCATGGATCCAAATCAACTGATTCGCGATCTTGGTGGATGTTTCCTTATGATCACGATGACTGGCTGGATACTCGCTTGGTATTTGCCGACAGTACTATCTACATAAGGAAGCAGGTTGTAATTGTGACTACGGATTCAGGAATTGGAGCGATGGATTTGGCAAGTATCCGAAGTTAATGCGCAACTTAGAATGTTAGCGTAGATCTGTGATGGAGGCTCAATCGTCAGTGGATGTGACAACGGCCGAAGCTGCCCTTTCGCAGCACTCTTTGATAAAAAAGAGCATATTTTCGGTCCCAGTCGAGCGTTTGCAAAGCGAATCGGAAAGGGTAAGTGATTCTGATTTGATGTAACTGTTATAAGGAAATTCGCATCTGTAGTTCAGTGAACGGATAAACAGGGCAGAGTGTGGCACTTCAAATCCTGATCTGATATCATCCATCCCACATATGGTCAACCTTCTGACGTCATTACAAGGCTTCGAGTGAGTTGTAAAAGATGGTTTCGCACGAATGTAGAGAATACTTTGGTCAGGAACGATGTGTTTAAACAGTGGGAAAATCGTCGTGTCGAACTAGAAGGATGCTACCAGATGAAGCTGTTCGGGCACGACGCTGAAGAAGTAGTACTGTCTTTGGCTACTACATTCTCATTCCTTTATTGCAGATGCTTGAGTGGACTAGAAAACATTGTGATGCTTTATCACGCCGAATGGGTGACATCGGCTCTAGTGAGACAGAAACTTCAGACAAACTTCATGAGTTCGAAGACTTCTCCAAGACTTTAGGCGTGAGTCTTGTCTTTTTTGCAAGTTTTTCCACAATTGTTTTACTATCCTGTTGTGCGTGAGTAAATAAGCGGCAAGAGACATCGTTCAAGTTACCAACTAGCAGTCCGTTTGCAATCCAGTAGTACTCAGTCCTCTCTTAACAGGGCCCGGCACGAGCTTGTCAAAAGGGGTTTTCGAAAACGAATTCCCCTTTGACCCCAAAAATTTTTTACGAATGCCCATTTGACCCAAAAACTGATCCCAGTGATTGCGCAGCGAACACTTTACCCATAGAAGTTTTTATTGGAGAAAAAAAAACGGCGAAGACGCTCGCCGCCGCAACGGCAGCAGCGCAGTGACTGTTGTGATGATTTCAAGCACGCAAAACCTTGAAAATGCCCTAAACTCTGAATGTAGTGCAATAGGATGGATTTTTGATGAAAGGTATAGGAAAGGAAGGTGAGAAAGAAAGAGCAGCTTCGCTTCAAAGGTCACATCATCATATAACTCTCTTACTCACAAAGTAGATGAGTGAATGATGCGTAACCCTGAGAACGACAAAAATGGAGATGAATATGACGCAGTAAAAAATGAAGGTAAGATATAGGTACAAGAAAGAAAGAGTAGAAGTGGTGAAAAACGCAAAACACTTACAAATGAGAAGAAAAACTCATCTCAATTCATCCACCTTGGCTATGTCACAATAAAACGCGAGTAAAGGTCAAAAACTCACTGGAAGAGCAGCGCTGTTCATGCACAGTATAAATGTGACATAAATAAACATACTTAAGTTGCAAAAGAAGCACAAATTCAAAAAAACGAGTTTTGACGACGCACATGCCCCCTAAGGAAGAGCTAGGAGTCGTAGCAACATTCAAAACAGCATAAAAAACAATGCAAATTACATCATACTTACATCATACACAAGTAAATGAAACAACACACTCACCTTCTTTTCAATTTGGGCGATTTAGAAAAAAACGGTGAGAAAACTGGAAAAGAGAAGTAAAAGGCGGCGAAAAATGTAAACATGATTGGGGTAAGCACAATCAAATGACAAGAAACTCATCTTCTATTCATTTAAATAGAATCTGACACGAAAATGGTGAGAAAAACTGAAAAAACGCCGATTATAAAATCCAGCGACGCCGTTATCGATTGGCCCAGCGACGCCGTTATCGATTGGAGCGCGCTTTCCTACTTAGAAAACGGGGCTGCTGAGGCTATTTTTGCCTCTAGCAATGAGGAGAGGAGGAGCTTTGAAACCAAATTTTCACTTTATACTAATTTCTAGGCGTAGAGTAGATTTATGTAAGAATTTTGAAAAAATTATGTGAACTGAGAGTTTTGACAAGCTCAGCTTGTCATTAGCTTGTCAAATGACAAGCTAATTTGGAAATAAGTTAAGCACGCTCTTCATTCACATAAGTTTTTCATAATACTTCACACTTTGTTGCTTAGTCCTACTGCGCAGATACACACCAAATCCCGCGCAATTTCGTCGCCTCTGCGTTGCAAACAAGCCATTTTTCCGTTTTTTTGTTAGCGGGAAATTTTCAGAAAAAAGTTTGCCACAACCTTCAGTCACATAATTTTTCAATGAAACTCCTAAGTTAGCTCCTACAGGCTTGTGTCCACGTGCGTACCAAGTTTCATATCATATCGTCATCTGCGCGTTGCAAACGAGCCATTTGAATTTACAACTTCATTTACTAATTTTGCAAAATCTTTGGAAAAAATGCTTATTACTCGTCCCGTTCACATAAGTTTTTCATAATTTTTCATACTTTGTTTCCACTAGCCTCTCTCCGTTCGCCTACAAAATCTGGTGTCATACCGTGACGCGTACATTGAGAACTAGTCATGTATGCCGTTACAAATAGCTCGTTTGAGCGACGTCGCGCGTGCGGCAAATAGCGACGGCGCGGTTTGACGCGCGCGAACTCCAGTCTTCGCATGTTGAGGCACATAACATGTTAAAATAAGCAGAGAACGTGCACTACTAATTTTTTTTCCGGGGCTCCGCCCCGGACCCCGCAAAAACGATTTCCCCTTTGCTTTTTTTGCCGAAAACGATTTCCAGCTTGTCATTTGACAAGCTCGTGCCGGGCCCTGTCTCTTAATAAGGTGAGAGCTTTGTTTCACATCGTATCTCATCTCCCATGACGCTTCTCACGTGCCTAAAACTTTTTGCACATTCTCACGTTTTAATGAATTTTCTCAAAGAATTTCTTTCTATGATTATTCAGGTACCTTGCCTCTCCTATTGTTACAAGAAGCTTAATCGCTTCATCGTTGATTACCATTACCATTTGAGTTCCCACAAAGTCATCAGTATTATCAGTATTGCGCAACTATGTCTCATTTCATCTCGTGGGCATCATTAGAGTGATGTTCGCTTGCATAAAATTTGTTACAACTTTGTATGGATCCTCGCATTCTTTATTCTTTATTTTTTAGCCTTCATACATTCTTTACTCTTATTCTTTTTCTTTATTCCTCTGTTCCTGTTTGCACGCAACCGGGACGTTTTCTGGAACTTCAATTTTTGGGCAATGGAAGACAGTGGTGCTTGAGAGTCATAGAAATCGTACCTACCGTGCAGTCGGTATGCATTCTCAGAGTGTGTTAAAACGTCCAGTAGAAGAGACATTCGATTAGGGAAGTAATAGCTTATTCTACGAAATGCGTCATTACTTTTCTCAGAATCTTGTGATCGACATCATAGGAGTGATGGCGAAGATGCTTGAACTGAGCTACAACCAGGATCATTTTTTGTAATCCCCTGTTGACTCCTTGCTTGTTTATTTCATAGCATGATACGTGTTTTAGTTCACTTAGGACCATCTTATTTATTGTATGTTGAGTTGTATCAAAACTTTTACTCTTCATATTTACAATATTCAAGTGCTATCAAGCCATGTACCATAAAGTTTTCTATTGGGTGTTTGCTTCTTTTAAAGGATCTTGTCGTACGGCCTCCTGCACAGAGCTTGAGAATTTTCTTGCTGCTCTATCTTTGCGTATTTCCGACCGCTAAAAAAATTCATTCACACATGGAAACCAAACAACGCAACTCATACCTTATGAAGTTTTCGAGCACCAGTGAACAATTGCGAACGCCCGAATGCCGCAGTTTCTATGCTTTCTACGCTCTCTCGCTCTACGGGCGAGTTAACGCATTCTCCTTTCCATGCAGCTGTTCAGTAGCTTCAGCCAATATCCTGCTTGTATTCTTCCATTTTTGTGTCCGGTTATTTCATGATGTCAATGGCCTCATTAGTACCGCTATTGGAAAAGGGTCAAGAGATAGGCGTGGCTGGCGGCAAAATTTTGCAAAAACCTTTATTTTCACTTGTAGATCCTGCGTGAAACGTACCATGTCTATCCGCTGGAGCAGGTCTTTGGCCAAGTCATGGTTGTTCGTGTAGCGTTGTGCAGGGGCCTCTACCTCTTCAACATCAGTCGATTCTAATATATAGGCTCCATCTCTTCGAGTTCCAAAAGTTCATCGTCAATTGTCTATCGCGATGTATTGAGTTGGTGGGGAAGCTGCAAGGAGTTGCTGAGATGTCTGCATGGCTACAATTCCTAAATAAAAATTAATGAGTGAGTTTGACACCAAAGCCTCTTTTACTCATACCCGTCCGAGCATACAGTAATACGCATGTATATGATAACTTATACCACTTTTAGAGTCTGTTGCACAAGTGCATGACATCGCATATGGGCACTTTCCATTCCTCAAAAAGCAACATTCCTTTCCGCTATGAACTTTTCTACATCCGGCTTGGTGAACCCATGTTTTTGAAACAAGTGCGCATACAGTTGCTTCCCTCTGTCGAAGCGCCAGTGGCATTCAGGACATATATTATCACTGAAAGAACATGAATGAAGTGGATGAGCTCAAGGTACCGGCCATGCTATTCCAAGGAGGTGATTCCTGCAATTCCTGTGAGTCCTCGAACTCCGATGTGCCGCACTACGGAGCCTTTGCAAATTTCAGCACACATTGTTTTTTCGCAATATAACATGGTTGCGGGACCCGTAGGAATCACAGGAATTGCGGGAATACAGGAATAGCATGACCGGTCCCTAAGATGAATTGTGGGAAAACGGGCCGCTGCGGCAACTCTGCTGCGCAAACTAATCACAGCGCGGTTTAACTAAACCACAAAAGCTTATACTTTCCCAGGGCTACCCCACTGGAGCAGAGTACTTTCTCTCCGCTGCTTTTGGAACTATTAGTGAGCGGTAATAGGGGAGTGATTGCGTTAATTTTGCAATGCAGTCGTTGTTACACAAAAGATCGTTAGCAAAATGAAGATAAATCTCTGGTAATTCCCTTATTGGAGAAAATCCGATGCGGCCTAGATTACGAGACTATCCATAACATGTAAGCCCACCTTTGGGTACTTCCGCTGCTGGATCCACACTCGTCCATGATGAGTGCTTGTTAAGGACTGTAATGTGCAAAATCCTCAGCCAGTTCAGTGCAAGATAAGCAAACCTGCAAGCTACTACTCAACCGAAGTGCTCACAGCTCAAATAAAAATCATAGCTTTTGATTTGCACTTTTGTGAGTCGCTAAGGCACAATAACATGAGATTGAAAAGCTTACATTCTCAAATCTTTGGCCCAAGTGGTTAGGAACGGGTAAAAGTGTGAGTATTGTTAATCTACAAAACAAAAAAAGCTATACTAAACGCATCAAAAAAAGGAGATCGCATGACAAACGTACCTATCAGAACGCTCCAAGAGAATCAAAAGTTGGTATCATCCGCAAGCAATAGCACTCGGTTGCGCTTGATATATCAGAAAAACGTTGTAAAGTCGTAACGACGGAAGAAAGAAGACTGTACGACACACGATTCCTTAATTATATTTATTACTTCTTAACAGACGCTATTCCAGATTCGAGCCTCAAAATGCCAAAGCTGTGTTTCACTCTCTTCACATGGTAAAATTTTTGTGGAGGTATAAGTATCCGGTAACCCCTTTAAACCATGTTTGAGTGGATACATGGTTTTGGCGTTTCTGCTCGAATACTAGAGCCGCTAACGTACTGAATTATGAGCGAAAGTCACAGTAAAGCACAAAAAATGCCAACATGATGTGAACAAATATCAACATTGCTCCGCGGATTCACCAGTCATCGAAGAAAAGAGTGTTCTAATGAAAGATTTATAGGAATACTTGTCAACCTCAAAGTAGGCAGTAGTTTATTTCTTTTTTCTACAGGATATGAAAGACAGGTGTGTTATAGATTGTAGTTGTCTATGATGAGGGGAAGCAATGGGAAACCTACGAATATCGAATGTACTTTAATACCTGCTCGGATAGGAGAAGGAAAGCAAAGAACAATGGGTGACAGTACAAAATAGATGAGAACATGGAGAGTAGCAAAAGTTCCATCCGTGAATGGCGTTGAACCACCGTCTATCTGAAGGCTGAACATAACACCGGGCCCCGACGCCGGAAATTAGGCGTCAAATGAAGTCAAATTTGAATTACGGTGCAGCTACAGACCTTGAATTTCTTTTACGCCTAATTTCCGGAGTACGGTAGCCCTGGTTTATTTTGCGTTCTATAATTCTGTGTCTTTTCCGAATTTATGCGCTCTCATATTAGTAATTTTTGTTAAGCCAACACACCGCTCCTTTGCATCGCTTCCATCTGCTCAGGTCTTCTTCCTTATCGGGACACTACATAAAGATTTGTGATGGCCCGAATCCCGGGGCACATCATGCGTGGCTTGTTCTTCTCATTTCTTCACAACAGAAGCAACGTCTTGGTCTGATTCAGGGCCGGCCATGAGAGTGACAAATGATAAGCTGAAAATTGTTTTAGGAAAGAAGAAAGAGGAGGTGTTGTGGGTGTAAGTTTGTACATACGCTCTCTCGACAGGAGGTTGCTGCACGACTGACATGCAAAAACAGGTCAATTCGCGCGTCACTTCAAAAATCCAAGTTTGAACAACTGGATAGTGATTGACCGCTTCGTTTACAGCGCACATATAACGGTATGACTACAAATTTGGAGTGTAGACGGACAAGAGTTAATAGGAAAGCATAATGACGATGATCTAATGACTATGTTGTGGGCTATATTTGTTCCTTTTTGTTGCTTTTTGAGATGAGGCTATTGAAAACTTTATCTTCGTAATAAATCTCACAATTGCCATAGTGTATCACTACAAACAACAACAATCAAACAAAATAAAAGTACGTAAATATTATAAGACTAGCTGGCTTACCCGGCTCCGCCGTATCCGGACCAAACTTGGCACACATACACTTCGGGCCCCGGCGGGTGTCACAGTCCACTTTTCGTTATCGATCGATGTCGATTTTACCGATTTTTATCGATTTTTTCGCAGAGTTCACCTACAGGGCTAGGAGTTGGCACAGGGGGAAGTGAGCATGGGAATTCCGAATACAATAATAGTTTTCAGAATTATCGGTTACTTTTATTGATTTTCTCGATTTTTTGTAAATTTTGACATGCGAGGCTGAGATTTTGCACAGGGGGGTAATCGAGCATGCTGATTACGAACACAATATTAGTTTTCAGGATCGTCCATTACTTTTATCGATTTTATCGATTTTTTTGTAAAGTTTGACCTGCGGGGCTGGGAGTTTGCACAGGGGGTAATCGAGCATGCAGATTACGAATACAATATTAGTTTTCAAGATCGTCCATTACTTTTATCGATTTTATCGATTTTTTGAAAATTTGAGCTAGGGGGCTGGAATTTGGCACAGGGGTGTAATCGAGCATGCTGATCACCCCCCTTGGGGATGATCAGCATGCTCGAATACCCCCCCCCCCTGTGCCAACTCCCAGCCCCCTAGCTCCAACTTTGCAAAAAATCGATAAAATCGATAAAAGTAATCGATAATCCCGAAAACCAATATTGTATTCGGAATCCCCATGCTCGATTACCCCCCTGTGCGAACTCCCAGCCCCCTAGCTCAAGCTTTGCAAAAAAATCGATAAAATCGATAAAAGTAATCGATAATCCTGAAAACCAATATTGTATTCGGAATCCCCATGCTCGATTACCCCCCTGTGCGAACTCCCAGCCCCGTAGCTCAAACTTTGCAAAAAAATCGATAAAATCGATAAAAGTAATCGATAATCCTGAAACCCAATATTGTATTCGGAATCCCCATGCTCGATTACCCCCCTGTGCCAACTCCCAGCCCCGTAGGTGAACTCAGCAAAAAAATCGATAAAAATCGATAAAATCGATATCGATCGATGACGAAAAGTAGCCTATGACACCCGCCGGGGCCCGTAGTGTATGTGTGCCAAGTTTGGTCCGGATCGGTTCAAAAATGGAATTTTCTATTCGGAACATACGTACACACATACATACAGACAGACATACATACATACATACAAACAGACATTCAGCTTTATATATAAGATAATTACATATGATCCAAGAGATAACTATAAATGTTTGCGTAGTTTCTTGGGATTCAGCTAGTCCGCGCCGAAGTTGGACGCCGACACCCTATGATCATCATCATGTTATAGAGAACAGCACTGCCATAGTGATTCTAGCTGCGAAAAAAAAAACGGAAGTTAACAGCAGCCCACACATTCGGGCAGTGAAGCCCTTGAGGCAGAAGTACTGGAAGTCAGAATGTGCCGCCTTCTGTAGCCGTATGCAGCTTCCGTCGATAGCAGCAATGATGTTCGGGAATGCCCCGGTTTGGGTGAAAACGGCGGCACCCATTTGCCAGAACTCCTCGTCCTCAATCGGCAGCGAAATAGCACGATCAGGGGATGGTTGAGCGCACGGATGACCATTCTCACCGCTTTGGAGACCGTCTTCTGGCTGAGTCCGATGGTGTCAGCCAGAAGTTCTTGGCAAGTGTTGCTTGACAAATAACGCAGCGATATCACCGACTGATTGTGAACACATTTGGTCTCATATTCAATTCAGAATCCCTTCTTAACATCATCATGTAAAATATCCGCTCAGACACTTTTCTGCTTTTGTTACTTGCTTTTCTACTAAAATCTGCATGAAAGAATAGTTGATTCTTTATACCCCGCCAAAGCCCCCTTCGCAGCCATTACGCTAACAGTCACGCATCTGTTGGGCATCTGCTACATGAACCATGCATGCTGCGCACATGTGTACTAACACTTTGGAGTTTGAAGCTTTCTATCAGTGGCGCGAGCAGTCGACAGATTCTCTTGAAAGACGTTTATTCTATAAGAAACTTCTGCGCCAATATGCGCTGGTTCTGATGGATAAACCGAAGTGGGTGCAGGCAGCCGTGATGGATGTTGGCGCTCCTTCTCACAACTCGTTGGGCAAACATAAGCATGGTTTTGCAATATAAATTATCCGTTCTTTTCCTCATTGATGATTCAAACAACAAGATAACGAGATAAGAAATGAAGAAATATGGCGCGCTCAATGCGAGGATAGTCAGTTATTGGATTTTCTTTGATTGATTTGCTTGTGCTGGCAAGAAAAGCGTACTGCATCATTGCCAGACAAGTGCCTTTTAGCGAATTGGAACTTGTGAGATAGATAAAGTAATAATAACCGGTACAAATAAATAAAAGAAATCGCGGGTTAAGTTTCTTTACTCTAATCTACTTTAAATACTAGGAGGTCGCCTTTGGTGGCACTCGCTCCTCGACATGATCTTTTTCGAATTTGTGACCTATCATATTGTAATGTCTCTCCTTAGGCCAATATATCCTCGTTTGCAGAATTGATCCATCCTATCTTCTTTTTTGCCTGAAAACTGCATATGAACTGTCATTTAAATCGCGAGGCACAGTCTTGCTTGTTTTGTTTTCTTCTCACTTTTTCGCAATAGAAGTAAAGTCTTGATTTGAATCAGAGCTCGGACGAGGGTGGCAAATGTCAAGCTGAAAATCGTTTTAGGGGACAAAAGCAAGGGTAGAATAGTAAATACGGTCACATGAACATAACCCTCCCTCAACAAGTTGCTACATGATTGATTTGTAAAGCACGATATCGGTCGCGCGTTACCTTTGACCAAAACTTTTTTCAATAAATTATTACTGTCTCGCTTACAGCGGACGCATAACGAGACTCAATTTGTTGCATAAACGAACGAGAGCTAGGAGGAACTTACAAGGGAAGTTCGCCGAATCGAAATGGCCGCCTGATACGTGGTATACACCCGGACGCGGGGCTCGGGAGGTTAGTATTAAATGTGCGCCCATTAGCTGCGACGCGTTATTGTGAAGCAAGTTATGGCCCTCCGAAGTTTTTGGCGTGTGCATGTCTAGAGAACGCACAAATGCTCCGATTGTGGTCGTGTGGTGTAGTGGTTAGCGTCTCGGACTCACAGATGACCGGTGAGGGTTCGAATCCTGTTGCTGTCCACATGTTTTGCGATCTTCTCAAAATTCATTCCTTACCTGTTTTATGCATTGCTGACGTAAAAAATGACACATACGGGTGGTTAAACTCTACTAATTATAGATCCTGCCGTGTCATTCTCACAAGGTGGCCCATTAGCAACAATCAATAGTACGACGTGTTACAACTTGGAGATTGTCACGTAAATACTACGTGCAATCGAAGAAAGTATGTGGGAGTGAGGATTTGGCAAATCTTCAAAGTCAATTGAAAAGCCTTCGCTAAAAAGTCGTTGCTATGTTCTACGAAAATCTTACATATGAAGCATTGGTCGAATTTTCGTGAGAAAAATTATCCCGTAACCCGTGTGTGTCATTTTTTGCCTCAGTAATACATAAAACAGGTAAAAAATGATTTTTGAGAAGAACGCAAAACATGTGGACAGCAACAGGATTCGAACCCTCACCGGTCACCTGTGAGTCCGAGACGCTAACCACTACACCAGACGACCACAACCGGAGCATTTGTGCGCTCTCTGGACATGCACACGCCAAAAACTTTAGAGGACCATAACTTGCTTCACAATAACGCGTCGCAGCTAATAGGCGCACATTTGATACTAACCTTCCGAGCCCCGCATCCGGGTATATACCACGTATCAATCGGCCATTTCGATTTGGCGAACTTCCCTTGTTAGTGGAGAGCACTGTGAAAAAAAGTTATGCAACAGAAGGTTGTGACAATCTCTCAAAAGTTTTTGTTAGTGAAAGTGGACAAATGATTTGCTTGCAACGCAGAGCTAACGAACGATAGGGCTCAGAACTTGATGTATCAGGGTATCTCATAATTTTTTACCGTTTTTACCCTAGACATCAGCATTTTTAAAACTGGGGCACCTACAAAGGGTACAAATACATGGTCGTACTTCTTATGTATGAGCTATATGATAACGTGTGTGAGAGAAGCTCAGGACTTATAGAGGCGGAGTTTGCCATTTTGCTCCATTCATTTTTTACTTTATTTCTAGCCATAGAAAAACACGAAAAGTGTACAACTGAATGTTCGATGTGTCAAATACTAGAATAAATGAGGAATTTTTGAGATTTTTTTGGGGTCGAGAAAAGATTTTCTACGATAAAGTTCCTTTTTGACTGCTATCATACTTCACTCAACACTTTACGTGGAATACGAATTGTGCAGACAGTTGATAGCAACTTGTAGAGCTTGCTTTGCTCTGTCGAATACTCACTTAAGCCACATCAACAGGGTAAAGCGGGGGGTGCGGCACGCCGCAGGGGAGGGGGTCGTAAGGGGGGGGGGGTCGTATCGACCCAAGGTCAAAAGCGGTTTCTAAGGGAAAATGACTGCAGTTAAGTTTTACAGTTCAAGTTCAACGACACAAACTTGCAGATACCGTATGCCTACCGTAACCTACCGTACCTCTAATCAAGCATAATTGTCGTAATCCGCGTGTCGAATAACCCCTATGCGCCAAGTTTCAGCGAACTCTGAGGTCTCCGAGCAGTAAACAACCTTGGATTAACTTCATCTTAACGGTGAGTAAGCTACCTCTTCTTGCACTCAATACAAAGCACTACTCCTTCTTTGTCCACCTCAGGAATCCCGCTTCAGAAGACCTCCAAACTATTGAATTAGAAGCCAACCAAAATCGCTTTTAGCTTTTGATCGCTGTGCTTTCACCAAATATTACTCAGAGCTAAGAAGACGAATCAGGCTCAAAACATCCTTATGGAAACTACGAGGTTTAGGCTATTGATTCATATAAATATTGTCCGCTAAAAATGTTTTTTTGATATAATTAATTGCCTGCGGCACCCCCCCCCCCTCAAAACCTGCGGCTGCCGCAGGTTTTGAGGGGGGGGGGGGGTGCCGCAGGCCATTAACTTACCTTCAAAACGTTCAAACAGCTGCTTTTTTCATGTCAACCTATAGATCCATCCTTCCTCTCTCCGTAGTAGCTGCTTCCCCTCGAACCTTCTTCTACAGAAGGAGATACATATGGTTTTTGCGAACCATATGCTGGGAAGTCTGGCCAAAAAATATTGGGTTACGGTAGTGCTCGAAAATTGTCAAAACACAAAGCCGCGAGATGCGAGTCTTTGAAATCTGTGAGCTAAAATCTCATCTTGTGGTGCAGTTTTTCGGGCTTCTCTCTTTTTTTCTCGCTTTTCTCTCTCGTTCGAAGTATGCGCTGTGGCATGACGACTTCGGCATCTATAGAACATACTTGCTTTTTTAGACGCCACCTCCTCAGCATTAATTGGGAACTGATAAAGAGCTGAACCTTATCAAGATGCGACCTATAGACCGCTTGTGCAAGCAATGGTTCATATCGGCCAACAGAATGCCTCCGTGAGTTTTTCAGTGTGTGAAATTCAAGCATAATCTTTTTCTTTTGATTTTTTCTAGAATGACGAGATTCGTGGCCGATTTTTCTCTCTCATCTTAGCTTTACTCAACAAAATGTCCGCTCAACTTTTCGGCAGTTATATAGAGATTAGGTAATGATGCATGTCTCTGTTCGATTTGTTCATGAAAGAGCTTTTAGGCCAAGTGATATAGACAAGATGGATTTTATTCTGAAGATGCTCCAGATGATTCGTGATCTCTTGCGCAAATGTCCTTTTCCAGCTTTCCTCTTCCGATTTTCTTCGATATGATGCAGTGCGAGTTCCATTCATGTATGGGTGATAAGAAGTTCAAAAAGGTTTGCATTGCCATAAATTCTTTCAGTTTCATCCATACACATATTCTGACCAAGATCAGGCAAAAAATGTACCATTTTCAGTTTTCTGATGAACTCACTGCTCAGCTGAACAGCTTGGTTGATCAAGATCGTGGAAATAGAGCATTTCAGGAGCATTTCATAAAATTCTCACTAGTTAATGTCAGTACGCATAAGTCTTGTTTACCAACCACTTGCATAACTCACTGCCCAACCTCCTTTTTTCAGATCGGACAAAATGCTGTGGGAAGACGGCAAGCGAACACTTATTGAAAGGATTGCTTGGCTCTTAGGGTCTTTTTGAGTACAGACTTGTCAGGGAGACGTCTGATTGCATGGAAAATGGCATGAGTAGAACAGTGCAGCTTCTGATCGGTCTTATTGAAAATGTTGATGCACAATGCTAACACTCTTAGTGTGAATGGGACATACATTTTGGCATTTTGATCCATATTGAAACTGCAAAGAATTCTGATGTTTCAGTGGAATGACCAAGTCTCTCATTTGGAGACGTTTGATTTGCCATTGTGCCGTCGAGCGCCAGTTGAAAGATAGCCTACTATGTGAGGCAGCCGATCTGTTCGCTAAAGGGGAGAGGTGGGAGGATGCAATGAAAATTCTTGAGTCAGCTTCCATGGCTGTTTTATTTTGCAAGTTGGTTTGCTGAGATTTTCAGAGAGTTCTGCCAGTTTACGAGAAAACCTATGTCGACTACGATAAGCCTCATTGACGGTTAGTAATCAGGATGAATTCTTCGTTTTTGAGCTTTTTTGGGTAGGAATTGCTGAGCTTTATCGAAAGATCGACAGGAAAGATCGCGCATTTCTCTACTACTACCTGGTGGCATTCTACGGCGATGGATTCGCCAGTTATCTGAATGGCATCAGGTCGGTAAGGAATCGGAAGCTCAGATACATAAACATGATCTTAATTATTCAATTTCCTCTATGCATTTTCAGTTTTGTTTTTCGCAGTGACAAACTTGAGAAGCATGCGGATTTTATGAAAAGGATGCAACAGGTATAAACTTTTTTGGAAGAGTTTCTTATAGAGTTCTGTTTTTCGAATATTTCGGTCGTAGCATTGATGACTTTTTTCTGATATTGTCGTTAGTATCTATGGTGGTCCTGAAGCCATCATGTCGATGGATGATTGTTCGCATCTAAAAAATTCGTTGAATGTGTTGGAATGTTGATGTTGTAATGTTTGAATGTCTTCTGCTACCGGCTTGCGTTTGCCGTGTGTACGTTGCTAGACGAACACCCATGCGATTTTCACTTCGTTTTCACTTCTTCCTTCCAAGTTGAAATAAAGCAATTACTTCAAAGTTGAGAGTTCGTGGAAAAGGTAGGGGTGGGGGGAGGGGGGGGGGGGGGGGGTAGAGAATGGGGGGGGTCGTGCCGAGGTCCGGCCCAAGGGGGGGTCGTATCCGGCGGTCGCGTGCCGCACCCCCCGCTTTACCCTGCACGTCAATTGATGGAAAGATACAAAAAAAACGACGGTTGTAATAAAAGCGGTAAATAATTATGAGATATCCTAATATACAGAGTGTCCCAAAAAAATGTGCACACTGTTTGATTGTAAATAACTCTCTTGTGGTGAAGTGTTTCGAGAAGCTTTAGGTACCATTTTGTAGAGCGAGGTTTAACTTAGATTTACAGCGTAAGATGAATCGCCGATTGCTCATTCTTACTGTAGGATTGCGGTGAAAACTTCAAGCAGATCGTGTCACTGTGAAAAAACGGCCATTTCAAAAATTTACAAAAAAATGTGGAAACTTGTGTAATAGGGTTTTCATGGACGCTGAGCTCAATATCTAATTCCTTACAAGGTTACGAAGCTTTTTAAACGGTGTAACCGCACTTTTTAGGAACATTGGAAAAATGGCCGCTATTGCTTACCTCGCATAATTTTTTAATGAAGCATTACGAACAGTTGCAAACTTCACATTTAGAATCAGCAACTCTAATTAGCCCAGTGTGAGAGTTTTCAGGTTGTTTTGGTTCTTTTTTGGAACAAAATATGGCCTTTCATGGCTCAAAATCCTCTTCAAAGTTTCTACCGTAATCCTACAGTAAGAATGGGCGATAGGCGATTCGCTCTACACTGTAAATTTAAGTTACCTCGCTCTACAAAATGGATTCCTAAAGCTTCTCGAAACACTTCAATACAAGAGAGTTATTTACAATCAAACAGTGTGCACATTTTTTGGGACACCCTGTATATGATTGACGGGAGAATAAAAATAAAGTATGAAACTCCGTGGAAAATTTACTAAAATAAAGATTGCCCACTTTTCTAAATTAGAGTGGCAATGCTATCCTGCTGAATGTAGCGAAACTTTCAGTTCACACAGTTTCTCATAATTTTTACATAAACCTGTTCTGCATCCAAAGTTTACTAATGACATTTTGGTTGCAAACTCCCGCCCTCCTCCCCATTATTCGAATATGCAAAGACGCCAGTTTTGAGGTATTTAAAGAAGCGCACTTCAAATAAAAGACCCTCATCTGACTCAATCAAGTGGGAAATCATGATCGAAAGTGGAAAAACAAATTCCGTCTACCACTCTCGTGCCGGGTCCTGCTCGGAAGAAGTGCTGAGCCTTTCAAATGTTCCAGAAATTGTGAGTGGATTTGCAGGATTCCAGAGTTTGAATAGTTTGCAGCCTTGTGCCATTTGGATCATTCATTCCTCACTAGGGAAGGATACTTGGTCGAAGTGACGTTTCTATATGAGATGTACACTATCTTACAGAGCATGGAACGTTGATTCCAATCTGCTTTCGGTATCTGCAAAGCGCTTCTGGGAGGGAAATTCTGATAATTTTTTGAGTTAAGAATTCAATGATTTGGCTAAGATAGAAATGGGTGTTGAGGTCTTTCCGACGCTTGAGAGGAGTAATGACTTACATGAGTTCATTAGATTGAAGGTCTTTTTTCCACGAAACGTCCTGGTAGTAAACATGGTCCCATTTGTGCTCAGGGACCAGGGTTCGCAATGATTTTATTGTAGCGGCGCTTTCAAATTTTTGCATCAAAAAATTTCCATAACTTCCCTCCCAGAAGCGCTTGGCAGATATGGAAAGCAGATTTGGGTTCAGCGTTCCATGTTCTATAATATAAAGCATTATACATTTCATACGGAAACGCCACTTCGACCAAGCATCCATCCCTTGTCAGATGACAAATAAGGAGCTTCTGTGTTTGAAGTAGCTGTTTCAATTAAAACACGAACTCAATGGATCTGATTCTAGTTTCGTTACATGAATCCGAGTTCCGGTAGACTAGAGGCTTTGTGTTGAGTAGAGCCTCAAAACAAGTGTGATAGACATTTCTTTAATTGTGGGTGCTGAATCTCTCGAAGCCTCATACAGCGCTTGTTTTGGCTAATCTTATCAAATGCTAATGAAATTCTCCCTGCCATTTTGCCAATAGTGTAATGTACTTCTGTACATTTCGCGACAGCTTATTTCTCTCGTGACTGCTACCTCGGATTGCAGATTTTTCATACCGTTAACTAGTAAGATTTGCTCTCAGAAGAAATGCAGGAGCGTTGTCACTTGTGATAGAATTTGAAATTCCTCTTTTCCGGAAAAGTTCGGCATGTTGAGGTACGCTATGGTGCAAAGGTGCGCTACTAAATCCGGGTGGGTATAATCACCATGAAAGTGATAATCATTCAGCATTTATCTGTGCAGCTTTCATTAGCCTTTACTGCTAAAGATCCAAAGTAATCCTACCCAACTCTTACTTGTGGCAAGTCACTTGGATTAGTGTAATCGTACGGTCAAGTTTTGAAGGGTTGGATTTTTCTAGGTCGTCGGAAGTCATATAGGCTGTCGGAACTTGTGCGCGTAACTTTGGTATCTAAAATCTCTAACGAACAGGCGCTTGCATGGCCCAGACTAGAGTGTTCTTTACGGTAATGTTCTCGACTTATACCTTCTTATATGAGAATTTTGGAGGATAATGTAAGGAAACTTGGTATGTTGTCCCATTCACCCTCTACATCGCGTGAGACTTCATTCTGTTTTATGTTGAGTTGCCGTAACGACTTCAGTCTGTTGTTCTTCGATGATTTGTAGAATTTTCTTCACCGCCATGGCAGTTTCTTCTTCACTGATGTCCAAAGTTCATTGATAAATCGTAGAATTTTTGCTGTGATGCCTTCAACAGAGACCGGATAGACAGCTCGGTTGACGAGTGTCAACTCGGCTGGCATACTTGTGTCGTCAGTCCCCTATGTTATTTGAAACAGCATGTAACTGACTTGTCAGTTCTCTGGTGAATATTTCAAGAAGAGTGGTCCGGTCCACTCCACCAGAAATGGTCCCTCAGTTGCTCGTAGACTCTCATCTAATATTTACAGAAGACGTAGCGTGAGAGTTTTTCCAATGTGCCGGAGAAACTCAGTTGTCCCTCTCAAACAACAACATCACACCCTATAAATTTTACTGAAAATGGTGCTCAAGGATCCAATCACAAAAAGTTGGTTTCCAAAAAAACTGAGATTGCAGCTTCAACATGGCGATATGCAATAGCTGTCTTTCTGACTGTGAGGTAAAACGATCGATGACATGTTTTATACAACGGATATGACTTAAACCGGTTCAAAATGGTACCTAAAGATTCGCTTAGTATGAGGTGGTAAGTATATCGACATTGAACAGTGCTTACGTTTTGGTACACTTGTATTTTATCAAGTTCTGAGGTTCTTTTCCTTCTCCAAGACAAGTTGTTTTTGGATTTGTGTGCATTCTGAGGCTCGTGATTACCTTGATGATACGTATGCTGCGCCTAGGGTTATATAGGCTAGGAAGAAAAGAATGTCGTTTTTCATAGAAAAGCACTAAGACAAATCCAAAAAACTTGAGGGGCACTTTTTGGTAAAGCAAAGAAAGCTTATGATGAACCCTTGAACATTGGCAGAAATCTAACACTGACAGCACAATAAAGAGCCAAAACATGAGACAACCCATGATGCGAAAAAATTGGATTTTTGTCCCAAAAATCTAAGTCTCACTTACTTTTGCATCTAACAGACACATGCACTTATCAATAGTTACACTTGCTATATGTTCTCACATTTACAAATGATGAAAAATGTAAAATGAAAGATGGGAAATATGGCAAACGCCGCTCCACACAGGGCTCGGCACAGGTGGCTTATAAGCAAGCTGGATATCGTTTTTGGGGCAAAAAGCAAAGGGGATTTCGTTTTTGTGGCCGAAAAGACACAAAATTTGCGACGTTTTTTTAGTCGACGTTTCGTTTTTTGGAGATTTTTCAGGGATTATGGTCTAGGGTCAAAGGGGACTTCTAAAAACGCAAAAGACAAGGAGGCTTCGTCTTTTGCAATTCCAACTAGCTACCTCCTGCCGAGCCCTGGCTCCTCCTATATATGCAATGTAAGTTATGAATCGTCGAAACCTCAACTATAAGATGGTTTTGGACTTACCTAATATAGTCCTTCAAAAATATTAAATTCAGCAAAAAACCCCGAAAAGGCAACATTCTTTTCTTTCCAAACTAATGTTTTTTGGACTTGACTTCAAGGTTCACTGATCTTATACTTGTAGTCGAACATTCAAGGCAAAGCTAAGATTATCCTTCTATCAGGACTGGCACGAGGTGGCTTTCGAAGAAAATGCAAAAAACGAAGTCTTCTTGACTTCCGCTAAATTTTGCGATTTCCCCTTTGACTCTAAACCCTAAACAAAAATTTTAGACAAAACGAAACGTCGACTAAAAAACATGATCTCGACCACAAAAACGATATCCCTTGTGGTTTTTGTGCCACAGAACGATATCCAGCTTGCTTATAAGCCACCTGTGTCGCGCTCTGCCTCCTTGTTTCTGTGTGGTAGAGTCTATTGTTGATATTATCAAGGCTTATACTCGGGTATTGCTATTCTTTTAAAATGCGGGTTCAAGCAAATTTGCGTTGATGGTAACACTTTAAACAAAAGCAAGTTTATTTTTACGGAAGGTCAACGATGAGACGACAGAGGCAAAACTTTCAACATTCAACTGCTCATACAGCACTATGGACGGCCGGATCTTATCACATGTCCAGCTATAAAATTAGCAATATTACGGGTTAAAAAGCTCTCTTGAGGAGCCTTGAGTTCACAAAAAAATGATTTCGGGTGGCATTTATAGATGAGATCCATAAGAAGGTGAAAGCATAGGATTAGACTGCGTTGCGGTCGTCGAGGAATGCCCACAGATTTGACGACCTCTTGTAATAGGGATTGTCGTAGAATCTGGAATAGTTTAAATCATACCTCTAATGAACCACATACACAAGCTGAACACTGCACAAAGCAAGACTGGAGAAGTTTTTCCAGCATAGTGCGAGAAAGCCACACGTTCTACAGACTAACAGTTTTTAGAAAGAGCTTCACTAATCTAATAAGCGTATAGTTTCTGGCATTCCATTCCATAGCTATAGAAAAGCAGATTTTTGTAGAGACGTCAGCACCGACCTGCTGATATAGTCGCTTGGTCCCCACAGCCCAGAAAAAGCTCTGCCGCCGCCTCGGCGATCAATTCTATAAATCACTACCTCTACTTACAAAAACTTCTCAGCAACAGATAACAAAATCCTCACAGTTGGTTTCGGCTAATTTTCATTCATTTTTATACAGGGTACCCCAAAAGTGAGTACACCTTTTCCGTCGTTATTAACTTTCTCCCCACAGTTTTCTTCTTAGCTTCAAGTACAATCTAGTAGACAGGCATCAACCTTAAATTTACAGTACGAAACGAATCACCGATCGCACTTCGCTACTGAAGATTACGGAAGGAACTTCAAGCACACAGTGCCATTATGGAATAGGAATTTGTACAAAAAAATTCCAAAGAAATGGCAAAAGATGTAGCAGTGTTCCCAGAATTTTGATTTAATTATAGAACTTTTTACGAGTTTTAAAGCGTTTCAAATGCTTAACCACATTTTTGAAAAACACTGGAAAAAAGTTGATGCGGTCTACTTGGCATGACTTATGAAGAAAAACCTTGGCGAGAATCCTATTAATAGTCAACAACTCAGCTTGGACTAATGATAAGGTTTACGGCTCGTTGAGTATCTATTATGGGGCAATATGTAGCAACATATGGGCTCAAAAAACTCTACAAAGTTCCTACCTAACGTAACCTTACGATAATAAAGGGCGTTGGATGATTCGCTGCATGCTGTAAATCTAAATTAGAGCCTGCTCTACCAAATGTTGCTTGAAGCCAAGCAAAAGATTTGTGGGAAGAGAGCTATCAACAATTAGAAAGTGTCTACTTACTTTCGTGGCACCCTTTACTTTTTCAAATGTCGTAAATCAGACTTGAGAAAGATAGAAAGCATCAAGTTAGCAAAGATCTTACAACTTCAAAGTATGGGTAGCAAATTAGAGATTACTTCGCAATAAGAAATTATTTTGCTTTTTTAAGTGGAGTATAAGTACAGGTGACCTCTTTCCAACACCGCTAGATGTTATCGGCGGAATTGGCGAACTACTTGTACGAGTGGGCTTCTCGAGTAGGGATTTTTTGTGCCCTGGTGTTCTTGGCATGCAATGGCAAAAATTGTGCATACTTCCAGATTTGATTCGCTGTTATTTCCAAAGTTATGCAGAAGTAATAAATTTTCTGGAGCGCAAAGTTTCTTTTTAAAGTTCGCATATAGAAACAGACTTAGAATATTCTATTGACATACAGTATCAACACTGGAATGAGATGAATTTATTTAGGCAGCGAAATGAATATTTGTCGAGTGAATCCAATTTACTCTGCATCATCCAAGGACTGTCAGACACAATTTTACTTCTTGCTATTCCATTAATTTAAGGCTATTCAGTCATTTAGTCAGCCGCTATTCGTTTGATAAATAGTGGTCTTTTCCGTATTGTATCGTATGTGCGATTTATTGGTATTCTTTTCTGTGGCCACGTAAATTTCACGATAATCTACGCTCATTAATGCCTTCAAAGAAACGTTCTGAAAATAGTGAACAAGTCTGTCAGTGTATTTCAAAACACTGACTTAAAAGCTGAGTTAATAAACTCATGAATAAGCATCTTTTTCTCGGACATCTGATGACTTGTAAGTGATAGCAGTAGCTTTGAATTTCATCACTTTTAGTCTCACTCTACACACTATTTTGAGCAAAGCGCGCTTTAAAAACAAAAAAGGAATTTCACTCCTACAAATGCTGGGCTTTATAGGTGAATGATTGTTCCGTTTTCATAACACTTTTTGAGGGAAAGCCATTTGTCGCTTTTTCACGATTTTTATGTGATTCTCGCATCATCTACCTTCCTCTCAACGTCAAAATCAAAAGTGCAAAACGAAAACATCACATGTTAGCTGGCCGATTTGTTTCCTACATTTCCCTAGGGATGCAAAAGTAGTGTTTTTGCCATCACTCTTCACTTGTCTCACATTAATCATAGAATAACGCTTCGCGAAACTTCGCGTTTGTTTTTGAACTATTACGGATCAATAATGTAAATCATGAAAGCCTTAATAATTAGTAGTTCACAAGTACTTTTGCTCTTCAAAACTTACCGTCCGCTAAGTCCTTCGAAGGGTTGCCATCCGCCAACAAACGCCCGTCCTCCACCACGTTTCTCATACAAGTAGTATGGTGAGGCTACTGAAATAAGTATTGTACATTTGCAAGTAGGACCGACTTCTGCCCAATAAAATTTTACGATGCGACAGCTTCAAAACTGTCCAGTAAAACCTGCGCTAATTTCTGAGGAATTGTAGACTCCCCAACTTCTAACAGATTCTTTGGTTCCAATTATTTTAAAGATGACAAACTATGCTAACGGAAGACATGACCTTCTCTTTTCGTAAGGAAACGGCGCAAAATTTAAGAAAATCGGTGAAAATTTTTGGCTTCCTAGGATTTGTTATAAATGAGGTTAAAAATCGTTCAGTAAGCCATAGACATGAATTATATAATGCAGGATATCCCAAGAGTATTTATACAATGTTTGATCGTTAATATTAATCTTCCCAAGAGCCTTTTGCCTATCTCCAGGTACCATTCTGTAGAGCTGGTTTCAACTTAGATTCAATATGGAGCGAATCGCCGATCGATTTTCATTAGTGTAGGATTACGGTGTAAACTTTATGGAAAGTTTAGATATGGAGGGTTTGAACATCATGAGCCAGTTTTACCCCCTCAAAGAGACCCAAAAAAGCTAAAAACTCCTACACCATGTAAGTCAAAGTCGCTGATTTCAAATGCGAAACTCGTACTTCACTGTAATTCTTCTTTTATAAGTTATGTCAGATGTACCGTAACAACCGTTTTTTCGATGTCCCGCCAAAATCTGATCACACCAAGTGGGAAGGTCTGACATGTAAACTGTCCTGTAGTGAGATTAGCCTGCGTAAAAACCTTATTACACAATTTTCCAGATTCTTTTGGAGATTTCTTCGAGGACAGCCTATCACAGTGGCGCCATTTGCTGCGAGTTCCTACCGTTATCCAGAGAAATAAAAAGCGATCGGTGTTTCGCTCCATATTGTAAATCTAAGTTAAAGCCAATATTACAGAATGATACCTCAAGGTAGACATGGCTTCTCGCGAAGAAACATATTAGCCATCAAACAGTGTACACATACTTTGGGACATCCAGTATATTAGAAGGATCTACGATACACGGTGAAAAGTGTATACCAACAGTTTCTAGTGCACGACCTAAGAGGCAACCTAGTGCTACCTAGAATTCTAGTGCATCTCTTTTTTCGATGATCCAAGATTTTGGTCAGTCTCCGAAAACTTTGAATCCTTGGAAACCATAGTTCATTCGCCGATTTCGTTTGCACCCTGATTGGAGCAAATCTTTTTTGTTTCGCAGTAACTACCATCGTGTTCACACAAATTTGATAGATGACTTTTCAAATTACATTAATCGTAGATGCCAACGGACGTATTTCAATGAAAATGACGTTTCGAAAATGCCTGTCACGAGGCAACATCTGCAATCAAAGAATTAGATTTACCACATTGTTACGAAAACGTCCAAAGAGTAGGAAAACGCAAAAAGAGGGTAGTGATCATATATTTCAGACCTTTTGTTTGTGAAAACGTACTGTTGATCAAGTATTGAAGTGGAATTTATTTGAAGATTACGCCCATTATTTATTCTTTCCTTCAAATCGAAAAGATAAGACATTCACCATTTCAGACTTGTTATTGGAAAAGGAATACTGTTCTCTGATAAACCAAAAAGCGGCTTGTGTCGCTGACAGCTTGTTTACCTATGCACACAGAGTTTTCGACAAGATGAGTCACTTTTAGAGATTGTAGGTTTTCTTATCAACTAATCAAGAAAGCAAAAAACTCAAGAGTTATCAAATTTTGTGTTCATATTCTCATGCTCGAACGACATCTAAATTATCTTTTTCTTACTCAAGACTAAGGAAAAAAGAAAAGGTCTTTTGAAAACATCAAATGTGAGATGACTACATTTGCTGACTTTTGAAGAGGCCCAGATTCAAGGACTGTGTTCAAGACAGACTATCAATAAAAAGAAGAATGTTGTGTATAATCACAGTTGGCGTTGTGGTTTACGCGATGGTAGTCTGGCAAGGAGTGAAGTTTTTTTTTTTGAGAAAATCCAGCGTTAAGATCAATTTCTGGCAAATGCTTCTCTAATCTTTCATGTAAAACAAGATTTCATGCATTCAGTTTTTTTTTCTATTATGTTCAATATTTGATGGCTTAAAAGATAGAATTAGTCCGACTTTTTAACGCAAGCGATGACCACCTACGCCGTCCAAGAATTACTCTGGAAAATCCCGAGGCAGTACTAGTAATCCGCTGAAACGCAGTTGTTTTAAGTCATAGATTCTAAAGTCCATTAATGGTTACTGATCTATGGGCTAAGACAGAGTTCTTGATAAGCATTTAGAAAAGAAATTAGGAACTGTTTTACGATACATCCAGGGCCCGGCACGAGTCGGTTTCCAGGGTTCCGGAAAAAGAAGTCCCCCCTGAATTACGGAAATTTTACGAAGTTCCGGAAGTTCCTCTACAAAATTCCGGAAGTTCCTCTTTGACCTACCTACATAGGGGATGACGAAAACAAGAAAGATTTACTAGTATGGAAGAATAAACTGAGATACGAGTGAAAATCCAAATTGGAGCTGAATAATACGCATCTACAAGAGTTTGGCATTGGAGCGCGATAGCTAACAAAGCGATTTATGTAGAAATTAAGGCAAAAAACAAAGGAAAGGCAGTATCGTCTGGTGGCCGTCTGTAGACGATCTGATTTTGGAAAAGGTATTCTTCACATAAGTTTTCAAATCTTTTTGCATAATCCTTCCGCATATAATTTTCTATGCATACAGTTCAGTTTCGGTGTCATATGATTTTTTGTGCGCTGTAAACAAGCAATTTGTTTATTTAAGCCTTGGTTTCAAATCGCGCGCACTTTTCGCCATACACGATAGAGCATGCCAGTCGTGAGATAACCTGTCCGAAAAGCTTGTATTCGACTAAATGGCGCTTATTCTTGGTGCTCGGCCCCGACTCGTCAAAAACGATATCTTCTTTGCTTTTTAGTCCAAAAACGAAGTCGAGCCTGCTTCTAGACGATTTGTGCCGGGCCCTGGATACATCCCCACTCGCAATCTCCGAAGTTTGCCACAGATGAAAAAGCGAAATGATTGCAGGTATAATGCTGTCAGTGATAGTGCATTTGAATCTCATGTTAATATCTTAGGCTTAGATTTTCTAGCTAATATAAGTACAATTTGCCTAAACAGATTCGGTGCCTCGGTAATATAACCAACTCTTGGAATTTCGGACAAAGAATTTTATGCAATTGCTGGGTCGGATGTCGCCATTAGAGCTGTGCTCAGCACCTCTTTGATTTCGCAGCAGTCGTTTAAAGGGTAAAGACCAGTCCTACAACCAATATTTGGGTTGTGATACGTGTAGAGTTGTGGAAAAAAATAAGTTTGTCGCATATAAGAATCGGATACTGTAACGATAAGTTGCTGGAAAAAAACTGAAAATATTCTTACGCCAACTATAATAGTAATTTTTAGATGAGTAATCACGCAAAATGAAAGCCTCTTAAAGAAAGCGTTAAAAATGTAGACCCGAGATAGTAAACGTTTTTCGCTCTTGATTTTTCTTTGATTTTTCATGGCTCTCTTTGTAATTTTCTCTGGATTCAAGTCAGTTCTTATTCCAAGATCTTATGGCGGCTTCTACATGAATGCAAATCTAGCTTCAAGGCAGAAATGACCGGAAATTTTCTGCATAAAAACAACTGCTAGCAAATAAGTTTGTCTACGGACTGTGTATATCAACATCTCAACGAAAAAAGTTGAGGTCAAACCTAAAGAAACTCGTCATTTCCCAGACTCCCTACTAATATCAATCTTGAAACTTTTGCAAATAATCCATTTACCGGTCCCTTTGTCCTTAACGTGACCTACTAGAACTTCCCTGTAGACTCTGGGTCATGAAAATTTTTATTGGCCTTATGTTAAGTGCTCAATGCACCTCCACACGATTCCGAAACTATTCAACTCACAACTGCTTAGCCGCTTCGAACTTGGAAGGTTGAAGAAACTGTGAAATGCACGAGCACCGCCTCGTTTATCGACATTCCTATAATCAAGATTTATGATTTATGTAGAGCATTAATTGGGGCATCTGTTAATAACTGATTTAACTGCTAGGTTTCGAGAGCTCCATTGATTTATGAGTACATAAAATTGGGTCGAGGTACTTATGCTGAGATGACGTGACGGAACTGACGTGCTGGCAAAAGAGGTGCTCAGAAATTGAATTTTGTCCAGAAAAAATCGGCTTGAGTGACCAAATATTATTATTCAAGTACCACTTTCTCTGAAAGGAAATTTTTCACTTCATTTTTCCGCACAAAAAATGGCGATTCTTCTAAGCCACGCCTTCAACCTCTCCTTCAAATGTTTGGTACGTCACACTTTGCTTGTTTTCCATAGGCGCACAATTGGCTAGGGTCCATAATTCAATTTCGAGAACTCAACGAGAAGTTAAAATGGGCAGCCATGAGGGGTAACTTAATTTTACGCTCTGCGCGGAAGTGCTGCCGTCGCGGAAAGTACATGAGGTTGCGTTACAGCAAGTCAGGGCACTTTTTGCTGAAGGAAAGCCGATGCATAAAATCGAAAATTTGGAGATTTGTGTACCACTTTTACCCCCCCCCCCCCCTCCCGTCCCCTTCTCTCCTCCCATCCGTCCCTTCCTTTCAACGGAAAATTAGAAAAAGTAAAAGCTTGGAAAATAAACTCACTGGTAAGATTCCGAGTCTTGTGCAACAGCAAGGTATGCTGAAAATTATGGGGCTTATTTGCGTCTGTACCAATTAGCCTTATATAGAAACTTACCAAAAGCGAGAACCGTCAAAACAGCCGTCAGATTTAGCGATGAAGGCATTGTGGAGTAACCCTGAATGTGCAAAATTTCGTGACGACGTCCAAGACGGTGCAGAATAACTGAATCAAAGGCGACAATTTATGATAAAAAGGCGTGCATGAAATGCTGGGATTGCAAGACGTATATAATGATAGGAAGAGAAAGGGCAGTCTTTGCAAAAAGCTTGGGAAATTCAAATTGCGAAGTGATGCTGGAGATATATGCTCTACTTCTATGAAAGATGAAAATGGATTTCACACGGGGAGAAAAAATATCGGGTATTTCTTAAAAGCTTATATTTAGGTTGCGGAAATAGACTCGGATTAAACTTCAGCGATGACTTGTAGATGATCTTTAGATGCTGAGCTAGAATAATGAGCGAGTAGATAGCGACCAGCTCATTTCTGAAAACGTTTGAAACTTTAGAAGCATATGCGAAGAAATTTTACACCATCAGTCCTTGACTCTCACGGATACGGAAAGCAAAACACTCAAAAAGCACAGGGATATGGATATGAGGCACTGGATACTTTTCAGGAAATCTGAGCCACATCGGAATTTGGGCGTCAAGAGTCACGAAAAACTACCCAAGACAAAGTAGAAACAGCTCAGATGTACGATACAGTTGAAAACATTTCATAGCCTTTTCCAACTAGAATCAAGCAAGTACAGTTTACAGGCACTTATAGGTCAGGAGGCAACTGAATCAAGCAAAATAATACAATTTAATTCTTGAATGTCGTCATCATATAACCTTTTCGCATTTGATTTATAATTAATGAGCACCGGAGAAAACTTCTCATAGCAACTAGTTAGATGACAGTATCCTTAAACCAATAGTGCACAAAAACGCAAAGGGTTTCATAAGTGAAATGGCTTTTCGTATAAAAACACTAGAAAGGACGGGAAAAAGTGCAAAAGGAATGGCGACCCGATCCTAACGGAAGCAATAAAACTCTAATTTCCTTGTAATAGATAGGGTCAATTCTATTTTTTTGGCAAAAGAAGACTGAATGAGATTGTGGAGCTAGTCTAATTACCTTACTCCTTACCTCAAAATACTTCCTTAATTTCTTTACATTTTTAGACGTAAGAACTTGTCGTGAAAAAAAATACCTTCATTGTCGGTCTTGAAAACTGTCTAGTGCCGTTTCTATAGAATCAAATCAAAAGAGGTCAAAGATGATGAAGCTATGTAGCGTGAAATTTGTATTTTTCACATATTGCATGGTACAATGAATAAATTTGAAAAATGTTATTTGTTAGAATGTTAGAATGATGATTCGTCATTTATGAAATCACCTCCAAGAAGCAAGTAGATGCATAGATGAAAATTCTCCTCTCATTGGAATTCCATGATGAGCTGATACAAAATGTGAGCCATAGCTAGCAACAATCCTTGAAAAAACAATGTTTGGAAGACAACTGTTAATCATGGCCTCATAAACAGAAAATTGAAGGTACTACGGGAACAGAACTTGAAAAGAAGAAGGCAATGTCAATTCTAGAAACTCTGATCCATTTAGATTTGCACTTCGTCAATATACTCCCACACGGATACGAACTTATTTCTAGAACATTATGGTTAGAGATTGTATCAAACTCACTAAGGCTAGTTTGGGAGACAGAAAGTTTGACTTTGAGGCCAGATTTGAATTTCGAAACTTCTAGAAGTTGAGAACAAAACGAAGCGAAACGGAGAAGGTAAATAAAACAAGATACTTCTATCGTGTGACGGAAGTGAGCATAATGTTTTAGGGAAATGTCATGGCGAACTTTCACCTCAAAAAAGTTTTGGCGGACTTGCTCTTTTATCTGATGCTGCCGCATACGGAAAGAAATTTTGAGCATGCTTCTTAGTATGAAGAACTTTTTCGAGTAGCAGATTTGAAATGAATGACAATGATAGGCAATAGAGACAGCAATCAAGTGAATCTCCGGGAGACGATTGCTCGGAGGACCTACAAAAAAAGAAGGGATTTTGAATTTATGGCTGACGTGTCCGTCCGGAACAAGATCCCAGCAACGCCCCCCTAGCCCTTTTGCTGGGTTCGAAGTGATGTGAAAGTGAGTGTAAAAACGCCGGAGACATGACTGGCACTTCGGCCCGCTGCTCCCCCGGGGCCTCGGGAAAGTGCATAGCCGGGCCGCGAACCACCACTCATCATCGCCATTGTGAAAGACGAGCCACATCGCGCAAACTGTGCTCCCCGGGGAATTGCGCGAGCCTATCAGTAACGAATCAGCCACTTCAACCATCCAGTAAGAACGAAAACAGCAGATCTTGATATACATCTTGAAAGAACAACATGAATTCGGACTTTGTGATATGCACTGGGGATCACAAATATTCCAAGCTTTCGGCGGAGGCAACACTAACAGAAAATTTATCATCTACCGAAATGGTGAATATAAGAGCCGACGTCACCTAATGAATTGTTAGGATTCTTGAGCTTCTCGTGATGGATGTCACAGAGCAGCAGAAGAGCTCTCGCGATAAAAAAAGAGACTTTCTGGAAAATGGAGACTGTCAGAATTTACTTCAGAAAGTAGATCCATGCTAGAATTCGTGACAGATTATGAGGAATGATAAGCAGAAAATCTGTTATCGAAACTAATCTTGATTTCTAAAACAAGTCCGCATACCTTTAAAACAGTGGCGGGTCTGGGGGGGGGGGGGGCGCCCCCACCGGAATGGGTTGCGAAATTTTAAAGTTACTAACATGTGATACAAAATGTGAAAGTGACCTGTTTATTCTTGTAAATCATTTAAATAATTTTTAAAATTCTTTGCAAATCTTAATTAGAAGAAGCCTTATAACAAGAGGGAAAATTTTTTTTGAACACTCCGTTTCGTTCCTCCCCTTAGACGAAGTAAAGGATCTCAGAACTCTCTCCGGAACTCCTAAGTAACGAATGAGAGTTCATGAGAAAAGAAAATGTTTTTGGGGCGTGGTTTAAGGGTTATGAGTCCGAAAAACTTTCCAGAGGCACCTCAAAAAAAATTTCGGAGTGGGTGGCTGAGTCCACGCCTTTCGTTTTTTGCCCCCCTCCCCTATCAGATGGAAATCCTGGGACCGCCACTGCTTTGAGAATGACTCAATCTTGACTCCAAGGGCCACTGGAAACTCTGCAAGATATTACAAATTTTCGAACAAATAACAACATGCTAGAAACTTACGGATCTGCTACCGTTGAACACATAATCAAAAAAGTTTATACCGAATTTTGCTTGCACAGGGAGCAGATTTATGATCTGATGACATACTTAATTAGAATGCTAGTAGTATGGATATATTCGGATGTATTTAAAAATCGACTGAATTACCTGCAGCCTTTTGAATGTTCTACTCAAACTACCTACAGGAGCAAAACGTTTAGTTTTCTCTCATGAGTAGGAGCAGTATTGTGTGCTTTCTTTTATAATCAAAAAACTCGCCACTTTATTCGCAATCAGAGGTGCAGTCCTAATTGTTGTTTCAATGATTCTTCCATTCAACTGTGAGTTTGATTTTCATTGTTAAAAAGTAAAGCGTAGGTGGTAAGTTTTCGTTCAAAGTATTCCAACGTATCCGAAAAAAGTGACTCATTATGCGTGATGCTTTTTGTCTGGTCCGACAAGGTTACAAAATTCTAAGGTTAAAAGGTTGATCTGAACCTCATGCTGAAATAGTCAGAAACTAACACAACAATCCAAAAATTGATTATAATGCGTACACGTGCTTCCCTTTCTGAAACTTTCCCGCACAATAGCATAGCTGTAGCTTTACGAACGGCGCTAAGTAGATATGAAAGCAGTGAATCCAGAAGAAAAGGTTGAAAATAGTCACTAACTTAGAAACGTGGGCGGATTGCAAAAAGGACGTGTACCCCGAACAATGAGACACAAATTGTCCAAAAAGTTCATTCTGAATAAATCACATATATTTGCTTCTCAAAAGCCACTTTGAAAGAATTACCTAATAAAAGGAAGAAAAGTGGAAGCAAAGCGAGATTAATCGCGCCAAAAAGAAAGAAATGATGAAGTAGACCGAAACTATAGACATTACTAACACCTATTCAAAGCACAGCTATTCTCCAAAAAAATCTCCAGAATTCTGTGGACAGCGTTTTTTAGAAAGTAGGACCTATTCGAATTCATGGGAAGTGAAGAAGTTGTCGATCGCCTTGATGACGAAATGCATTCTCTTTTTCATTCTCAAAAAAAAACGTAGGATTCCGAAAAATGAATCAGTCACAATGTGCGAGAATAATGATCTGAATTTCAATAAATGTTACAAAGCCCAAGACAGGGGTATAAGAGGCTCTAGAAATCTCCATAGAAGCGAAAAGCAGTCCGTGAAAAAGTTTTCTCGCAGAAAAACAGCTTTCACGATTATTCTCCAGCATACTACAAACCACGTACTCCCAAGCTTTCACCAGTGACTACTCCAACCTACGCTGCTCGGCGCCTTCCGAGTGATGAGCAGCAGAAAATTGAGTAGAAGGACATCACGAGATAGCAGCAGAGGCGCTAGTAAAATCATGAGGAGATTTGATTGTGTAGCATTCGGTTAACAGATTTATCATGAATGAGATGTGTTTACTGCCCTAAATCTTAAGTACCAGAATGGCGACGTAGTGGGGAACTTTCGAAAGATAATTAGATGCGCATTGACAGTAATTATCGTCTCCCATATGATCTAGCCACATCATTCAATAGAAAACGTTACCATGTTCTATTTTTAGACAAAAAAGTAGGAGAGAAGCCAGTTTATGGTTTTTTAGCAGCTATAATAATACGGCTTATAACAGATGTGAAAAATGCCGATGACGGCGGACTTCGATTCCATAACCTGGGCTCAGCACGAGATGGCAAATTATGCAAAAGACGAAGTCCCTTTTGACCCAAAACGGAAATGTCGACTTAAAAAGCCTAACCTAACCTAGCTTGTGTTTTTTCCGACCCTAAGAAGTTATCCCCTTTGCTTTTTGTCCCAAAGAAGATATCCAGCTTTCTCATAAGCCACTAGTGCCGAGCCCTGTCCATATCCATAAT